AATGATCGATGGGAAGGTTCAAACGATATTATCGGAGATAACTAACTCATACCAATGCAGTTCAGTGTGTGGTGTCTCTCCAAAAAATTATGATTAGTCTTGACATCCTTAATACAGATTATACTAATGAAGAGTTCAAATATAGTCTTTCCATTCTTCATGCATGGATTCAATTTTTTGAGATGGTTTTGTACATTGCATATAAAAAAGAAACAAAAAAGTGGCATGCAAGATCTAACGAACACAAAGAAAAGGCATCTCTTGCTAAACAAAAGATTCACACTGATTTTATAAACAAAATGGGATTTGTTGATTTCCCTAAAAGTGGTGGTTCTGGAACAAGCAATGATGGCAATACCTCAAGGCGTGCTTTTGCAACATATGAACAAACAGCTGAAATTCTGGGTATTGATCAAAACCTTATATTCAGATTTTACATTATCTTGGTAACACTCTCTTCAGGATATGAAATAGACAGCTTAAAATTCAAGGATTATTGTTTTGACACTGTTAGACTATATGTGTCCCTTTATCCATGGTATTACATGGCTGAATCAGTTCACAAAATAATGATACATGGACATGACATAATTAAAAACCTTACATTACCCAATCGGACTTATGAAGATTTCAAATCTTATTGCGAAAATTTCAGCCGAAAAACATCAAGAAAAGCAACAAATACTGATCTTATCAATAGTCTCCTAGTTTCCAGTGATCCTGTTTGTTTATCACTGCGTAAACCAACATCACAACGAACAAATTATGAAGTATTTCCTTCAGATGTTTTACAATTACATAAACAATCTTTAAACGATGTTATTGTTTTATAATTTTATAATATAATTTAAAATTGACAATATTTTCTTGCACTATTTTTTTGTTTTTATTATTGCAAAAACATTAACCTTAAAAATTAATTGTTATTCAATATAGGTGGGTCGAAAATCCAATAGAATATTCAAATATCAACTTACATCTTTGTAACAAAGGAAAGTATCTGGTAACTAAGCAATATAAGTATCCATAGCAACTAAATTGCAAAAATTATCACTTTTATAATAAGTGTGATGTCATATTGGTACTCATGCCAAATTTAGGGAATATAGCACTCATAAAATATCTGTATCCATAGCAACGAAATAAAAAATATTACCTTCATAAAAAGCGCAGACATATTAGTACTCATGCTAATTTTAGTGAATATATTTCTAATATAAAATTAGTTGAATTTTTTTGTTACAAATTCTTATAGGACTTTTGACAAGAAAAATTAATATTAATAAAAATTTTATGATGAAGTAAATTGATGGATCAATTCAAAAGCTTAATAGATGTCTGTTTTTGAATTTTTTTTTGGTGGGATAGTAAATGATAATCTATTTTGAAGAAGATCTGTTTCTTCAGGTAAAAGTCAGGTAAAAATAACAGAAAAATAAAGCTTTATTGATAATTTTAGTCATATACAGGAATATTCACATACACCAATGGCACATTATGAAGAAAATAGTATGGTTCAAATCCATACCTGAAAAAAGTATCTGTACTTCAATACTATGTTGATGAATTTTATTCATTACAATATTGATGAATTTTAATTTTCCGTTTCAACTTTTTTGTTTAACATCATTGAATCTTCAAGATTGCTTAAGGCATAAAAAACAATTCAAAAATATTCATGAGAAACAAATTTAAATTATTTACCACACCAAGAAACCTTTTTTCAAGAGATGATGATATCTGGATTAAAAATTTAAAATAATTTGTACTGATTTCAGAATTAACTTAATTTCTCACATTTTCGGAAAAAGATATGAATTAAACTTTTTGATTTAGCTGCCCAATTTTTCAAATATTGTAATTCTTTGGTTATTTTCTTAAATTTTAGCACCATTATTAAAATCCCAGTGTCAATTTGCAAATTCAGTTCTAGTTTTTTATTCTTTGGAGAGATAAAAGGTTTTTTGCTGCTTTGAAATTCAAAAGTTCTGAAAGTTTTGACTGTCTGCAAACTTTTTGCACGCTGAAAATTTCAGTTTTTGAATGATATCATTAGCACTGCCAAAGAATTCATTTTGATGTATTGAATAAATTTTTGTCAGTCAAAATATTTTGCATAGTCTAACCCCTGTTTGTTCTCTTTCTAAAAATCTGCTTTAATTAAATCGTTTAATTAATCAACACGCAATTGACTTGTTATTGGTGTAATTGGTGATAATTTCTTTATGTTTGAGTTTTTTCTAGATTTATAATCTTTAATAACACGTTCTCGAAAAGTTAACTTGCTTTTTTTTAGTAGTTTTTAGTAACAAAAAAGAATTGTTTTTTTTTTTTAAAAAAAAAATGTTTCTATTGCTAATGAAAAACTGTTGATGACAATTTTCTTTAAAAGTAATTATTTTGTTCAAAAGTGTTGAAAATTTATAAAATTAGCACCAAAGCCCTTGAAAGAAAATTTCAAAAAATTGATAGCTAGTAAAAATGCATTCTTTTGATTCATATAAATTTAAAAACTTTCATCTCCCCATTACTTTTTCCATCATTAATAATTGTTTGTTGTTGAAGTATATAACTACTACACTATGAATGACATAGCACAATCTGCTGATAACAAATCTAGTTCCTTTTAACTCCACATTTTAGCAGTTTAGTGGCAACATATTGGACATCTTCAACGTTTAGAAATAAATTTTCTACTACACTATGAATGACATAGCACAATCTGCTGATAACAAATCTAGTTCCTTTTAACTCCACATTTTAGCAGTTTAGTGGCAACATATTGGACATCTTCAACGTTTAGAAATAAATTTTCTTAAATCAAATTTAACATCACATGACATATGATGCTACTTTAAAGATTACTGAACCTCTGTATCAAACTTGAATTGATTTAATGTGAATTTCCCATGATAATCAATTGCCATGATTTAATAATGCCTCACTCAAATATCAAAACTTTGTTTAAATTTCTTTCATTTAAACATGTAATGATCAAATTTAAATTTTCATTCAAAATTATTTTCACAAATTATGTCTTGTAAATTAATTTTCAAACAATTGTATAATTAAAAATCAATCAATAACAATTAACTTAACAACAAGTTTCAAAATGTTTAAGAAAATAATGTTAATTTGCATTTGACTCAAGAAGCAATAAAAAATTAAATTTTTATATAATCTCTTCAAAGATATTCTAACCAGATTAAACATTTAAATACCAAGAAGTCGAGCCATTACTAGATGAATGAAACTTTTTTAAGCATGATGAAATAGTTACAGTAAAAAGATGCAACTTAATGATAAATGACGAGATTTAATTTTGGTTTGTGTCATTGTCATTGTCATTATACTCTGATATTTTACAACTGATGATAAACGATCATGACAATCCTGACATAAAAACAGAAAAATAAAACGTAAAAGAATAAAAAAATCTTTTTTTTTTAAATTCTGTCATAAAAATATTTTTGTTCATTGATTAACAATTAAAAATTACCAAAAATTAATTCAAGGTTAATTAAAAACTAATTCAAACTTTATTGAAAATTAATTATTTTGAAGTACATCAAATTTGTGACATGAGATAATGAGATATGATAATTAGAAGAATAACGAAAGAAGATTAACAAGAGGAAAAGAATAACGAGAGAAGATTAACAAGAGGAGAAGAATAACGAGAGAAGATTAATGAGAGGAGAAGAATAACGAGAGAAGATTAATGAGAGGAGAAGAATAACGAGAGAAGATTAATGAGAGGAGAAGAATAACGAGAGAAGATTAACGAGAGGAGAAGAATAACGAGAGAAGATTAATGAGAGGAGAAGAATAACGAGAGAAGATTAACGATAGGAGAAGAATAATGAGAGAAGATTAATGAGAGGAGAAGAATAACGAGAGAAGATTAATGAGAGGAGAAGAATAACGAGAGAAGATTAATGAGAGGAGAAGAATAACGAGAGAAGATTAACGAGAGGAGAAGAATAACGAGAGAAGATTAATGAGAGGAGAAGAATAACGAGAGAAGATTAACGAGAGGAGAAGAATAACGAGAGAAGATTAATGAGAGGAGAAGAATAACGAGAGAAGATTAACGAGAGGAGAAGAATAACGAGAGAAGATTAATGAGAGGAGAAGAATAACGAGAGAAGATTAATGAGAGGAGAAGAATAACGAGAGAAGATTAATGAGAGGAGAAGAATAACGAGAGAAGATTAATGAGAGGAGAAGAATAATGAGAGAAGATTAACAAGAGGAGAAGAATAACGAGAGAAGATTAATGAGAGGAGAAGAATAACGAGAGAAGATTAATGAGAGGAGAAGAATAACGAGAGAAGATTAATGAGAGGAGAAGAATAACGAGAGAAGATTAATGAGAGGAGAAGAATAATGAGAGAAGATTAACAAGAGGAGAAGAATAACGAGAGAAGATTAACGAGAGGAGAAGAATAACGAGAGAAGAATAACGAGAGGAGAAGAATAACGAGAGAAGATTAATGAGAGGAGAAGAATAACGAGAGAAGATTAACGAGAGGAGAAGAATAACGAGAGAAGAATAACGAGAGGAGAAGAATAACGAGAGAAGAATAACGAGAGGAGAAGAATAATAATAATTTAATTTATATAACTACTTTAATGATAATTAAAAATAATTTATATAGCTACTTTAATGATAATTAAGAATAATTTATATAACTACTGTAATGGTAATTCATTTCATAAACTGTTATTTCTTCAGATGCTTTCATTTGAATCTTACAGCAATTCTACATTTTAAAACATATATTAAAATATTAAAAAATAATGCGCATTTGATGGAATGTAGTGCATGTGTTATTAAAACTTTATAAAACTGGTTGAATTAGTATATCATTTTGCATAAAACATTTCGCATTTAACAGTTTTTCAAAAAAAGACATAATCGAATAAAATATTTTAAAATATATTAAAACAAGATATAAATAGCTCTAACAGTAAATATTAGACAAAAAACAACTTACTTATATCAGATAGTTTACTGTAATCAAGACTTGTAGGACTAAAAAAATAGTTTTAAAATTCAACTTTACAATTATGAATTATTTGAACAATTAAAAACAACATTTTTTAAACAAAAAATACTATATTTAGCATGTTATGAAATTAAAAAATTATTAACTTTACATACGTTTTAGGTATTTTCAGTTTTTCCATGTACTTAACACATGATTCTATCATTGAATCCATCATACGTGCCTACCCAACACATTCAAAAAATATATATATATTCTATAGATGTAACATATATAACATTTTGTCTTTGCAAAGACAAGATTTTATATAATAAGAACTTTCATCGCTTATATTTTACTTTACAAAGAAAATAGTTTGCATGAAAAATATTGTAATGATTCCGGTCACACTTCATTTTTTCAATCAGTTTTTCAAAAGTTGTAATTAATCTGGATCTTTAAATTATTTATTGAAAAAAAGGCCCATAGTAATTAGTATGGAAAATTTTTTTCTAAATATACAAAAAAAAATTGCCGTTTAAATATGGCAAGCCTTTTTTTTTTTAAATAAAAGTAGACACAAAGTAAAAACTTATAAAATCACAATGTCTCCGAAAAAAAGAGGAAGAAAAAAACCTGACGATTTATAGGGAGAAACAACTAGAATTGAAACTCTAAAAATTAAGCTCTAAAGAAGAAAAAATTAAAAATCTAGAAGAAAGAATAAAATTGGAAGTAGAAAACACTGCTAGTAATAACAATCTAAGTATAATAAATGATAAGTCATTGCCAGCTAAAACACTAAAAATATACCAATAGAAGTAGATATAATCAATACTGTAGCAAATTAAACAGCTGAGAAATCTAGAAGAGAGAATAATGTGATTGTGTATGATTTAAACCAATCTATAAAAAAACAATTTAAATGAAAAAAAGATGATAAAAAAAAAGTATTAAAAGTCATTAAAAATATAAATTTAGAGAATGTGCATACTAAATTACAAGATTACGATCAAAGTATATGTCGAAAAAGTTGTTTTGGAACTTGTTGATGTGCATGCAAGAAATCAAGTGCTAAAAGCAGCTTTTAAAAACAGGGAAAAGATACCAAATGTTAACTTTATACTGACATGACTGAAGCAGAAAGAATTTTAAAAGTAATTAAGGTTTGAAGTTTTAAATGGACATCCAGACATGAACAATATTTTATTATGGTATAAGAAATAGTAGAATAGTAAAACTAAATAAAAAGCAATTTGAGTATAAAGGAGCAAAAAATATAAATATCCTAACATTTAAAAGAACTGTGACCAATAGCTAAGCTACCAAAATAAATAATAATGCACAGCAGCTTATTAAATTAAGATGAATAAAGAATTAAAATACAAAATTTGACTCAATTTGAATTTTGACTACCTTTTGTATCTATACAAAGATTCTCTTTTTTTTTGGATCTAAAAGATCAAAAAAGAAGAATATAAATTTAAAAATAAGGTAGTCAAAAAAATAAGGTAGTCAAAAGACAATTAAAAAACAGAATGCAAAAGAATCGAAAAATAATCAAAAACAAGTTTATGCTTATATTAATAGTAAACTAAAAACTAAAGACCATATAAGAGCAATTTCAATTGAAAATAAATGACAGTCATTGCTAATTAATTAGATTTTTTAATTCTGAATCTATAAATGAAAGCTTGAGTATTATGCCTACATGTAAAAGAAAAAATTTGTCCGACCTTATTGTTTAATGAGGAAGATATAAAAAAACAATTATTAAATTTAAATGTTCACAAGTCACTAGGTATTGATAAAATTCAATACCTGGTGACTTTTAAGAAATTTTAAGAAAATTTTCTAACAGTTTAGCTAGACCACTATGTATGATCTTTAACTACTCATTTCTAAGTGGAACATTGCCTACAAGCTGGTTAAAAGCAAATATTACATCAATTTTTAAAAATGGGGATAGGTAGCATGCAGGTAACTACTTTCCACTTTCATCAACCTCTAAGGACACAATAATGAATCATTTACTAAAAAAAATTTAATAATACCAGAACAAAAAAGATTCATTAAATCAAAAATGATTGTGTGACAAATTTACTTGAGACATAATAATAACAGAAGCAACAAACAGTAGAAAGTTTTTTGATCTTGCGCTTTTGGATTTTTCTTAAGCATTCAATTCAGTTTGGCATTCCAGGCTGCTCTTGAAACTAAAATCGTTGGAAAGTTGTTGCTTTAATGTAAAGCTTTTTTTCGCAAAATAAAAACAGAGAGATGCTTTGGAAGAAATTGGATCAGGATGGGAATCAGTTCGTTGTGGGGTACCACAAGGATTGATTTTAGGACCTTTATTTTTTATAATCGCTCACAATTAATGTTTAATTTAACACTGCTGTTGCTGTTACTCATTCGTGCAAGTTTGATAAAAAGTTTTTCAAAAAAAATTTAATGTTTGGCCTTATATTTCACTTTATATTTTTGACCACATGATTAAGTTATTTTATCTTTATTATAACCTTAATCAGTTATAGGATTTAAAACTTTTGTATTCGATAATAATTTGATGCAATCATAAATCCTGTAATAATAACTGTAGTAAAGGATGAACCTTATGTTATTTTTAAATTATTAAAGTAACTGTTAAAGTCAGGTAATTTATTTAATCTATTTTAGTAATAACACAAGTAAAGTCGTTTGGCTTTTAAGTTTCATTGTATTTAAAGTATATTAATTTGTGTTTTTTAATTTTAAGAACATGAAGATGCTCTTTTAAAAGGTCAAACTTTTGATAAAGGTGGTATTTATCTCAAAAACCCTTGTTTCTCACACGGTCAACTCGATGTTGTATGTTAAAAAAAAAAATCATTTAATAGCTTATTTTTTAAAATTGATAAACATTTATTACAAGGTATGTCATTAAATAAATGCTACACAAACAATGTTTTATTTAAAAATGTACTAAATAAACAATTATTATTTATAAATTTTTTATAAATAATTAAACAAAACAAATCTTGATACTGAAAACAAGCTGATGTTACTAAAAACTCTGTTGTTTTTACTAAAAATCCAGTTGTTATAGATTTTCTGATAGATTTTAAATAACTTTAAAAATATCAATCACTTTAAAATTTAAAGAAAATCTGTTTACTTTTATAATATAACAAACCAGGTCGTTTGATTGTTTGTTTTTTAAAGTTGATAAACATGCATTGCAAAATATGTCATTGAACAAATATTACACAACTAAAGTTGTGTTTCCAAATGTTCCTTATCTATATATATTTTTTAATTAATTTATTTAAGTATTTTTTTTGTTTCATATGATGTAGTAATTTGTGTTGTTTTTTATGTGCTTATTTGTGTTAAAATTATATGGGTTTACATTTTGAAGGTGTTTGCGTCATAAATGTATAAATACCTGTTACATATGAAGTGTTTCTATGTGTGTTATGTGTTATAATGTTATGTGTTTATAGGTTGTAAATGATTATGCTGTTTCCATGGCTTCAAAGTGTTGTGACTTGGCTTAGTTTACAGCAAGAGTCTAGTTCTTGTTAGCTAAGTGGTGTACTTTGTTATATGCGACTTGGCTTTGTTGAGAGCAAGAATGTTGTCCTTGCTAGCTAAGCGATTTGCTGTTATGAATAAATATACAAAAACAGATATCATTCAACATGAACTAGTAGTAATGCCATTGGAAAGAGACTTAGGTTTGTTTTTCAGACACTTTAAAATAGGAATACCACATTGAAAAAATAGTAAGGCAAATCAAAAATTGGGCATGTTAAAACAAGCAATTATCTATCCAAATGAAACATCAACAAAATTGTTATTTATGTCACTTGTTTAGCCGGACTTGAAATATGTTTCTCAAATATGGAACCCATATTTCATTAAAGATATAAACTTAATCAAAAAAGTTCAACAAAAAGCTAAATTTTGCCTACAAAAGAAAGGGAGTCATGAGGAAAAGGAGTAACAAATGAAGAATAAAGAAAATGAACAAAATCTATCAAATAGAAGAGAAAATAGCAATCTTATCCAAATTCACAAACTTATAAACTTATAACTTATAAACAAAAATGATCAATTGGAATCATGTACCAGAAGTATTGGGTAGGTTTACCAGAGGCCACAATCAAGGGTTTAAAAAACAGTTTGTTCAAAACTTTTTGTTGAGACATCATTTCTTTATGAACCGTATAGTTGAAAAGTGGAATTGTTTGGACAGTGAATTCTCCAATGCCATTTCAATGATTGATTTAAAAAAGCTAGCTCATTATTATTAGCATGATAAAAGTACTAGCCCATTCAGGGCTCGAATTAAGTGATCGCAAAGTGCAATATATGGAAATGCTTCCGGTCTTTAAATTTTTAGCTTTTTAAAAACCGTAAAACTGTTTCGATCACTAAACTCAATAGATATCATTTAATAAAAAATATTTACGTCGATTATGATATAAAATCTTATTGTAAAACCATATTATTATTATCATTTTTATTATTAAAGATTGTAATTTAAACTTTAATATTTTAATTTATTTTAAAAAACAACAGATAAAACTAGAAAAATAAAGCACAATAAAGTACGATATAAATATTAAAAAACAAGCGCTAATCACAACAATCTAAAGGACTTTAACAGTGATCAAATATTTTAAATAAAAGAAATTGTTAAATAAGATATAAAATACTTTTATATGTTATTTAAATCTCATTCAATATTTTCTTATAAATTTAACGCTTGCAACACTTTAGCTGATACGAATATAAAATTAAAAGATGGAGAGGTTAATATATAAAAACTTTTTATAGTTATTTTAAAACAAAAAAAAAGAAACTCTAATAACATATTTTAAAAAATATACTTAATATTTTTTTTTTACTAAATAATTAAATTCTAATTTAAAACATTTAAATTTTTAAATAAATAATTCCATAAACTTCCCCCCTAAATAAAAATCTATTTTAATGTTTTATATAATGCGTAAGTAGCTTTAGCATATTTTTTAATTGGTAGGTTTTTTATACAAAGTTTTATACAATGCTGCAAGTAGCCTAAGCATAGTTTTTTATTGGTTGATTTTTAAATTACCACGAATGTTTTTCGGACTTTTAGTAGTAATAATTTTTGTCTTACAACTTTTTTTTATTTATAATCCTTAAATTACCTGGTATTTAAAAAAGCAATAATTAATAATATGTAAATTTTGACTGTTATTATTTTTGCAGTAGTAAATTTATTGTTTTGTTTTTTCATTAATTTTTGCAATATGATAAATTGACCGTTTCATTAAAACAGTGTTTAGGTTTTTTAAAAAAACTAAGAATTTAATGACCAGAAATATTTCCGTATATTGCAATTTGCAATCACTTAATTCGAGACCTGCCATTATTATTAGCTTTATAAAAGTACCAGCCCATTATTATTAGCTTGATAAAAATACCCATTATTATTACTACCATCTATATTTTTAAAGAAATTTTTTTGCTGAACAATATTTAAGAGAAAAGCAACTTTAATATAGAAAAATGTTTTTAAATGCAAATAAATGAGTAATAAAATTTGTGTGTGGCTTAACTTATTAAATCTGTTAATATGAGATAACTTAAGAAAAACATATTAAAAAAAAAGAAGAAGATATAAAAAAACTCTTTCATTTGTCAATTATGATATGTTTGCATCAGACCTTATTTTTGAACTGCAGCATTAAGTTAAACATTTTAATAATCGCAAAAAACCTAATTTGAAGATACAGTAACTTTTTTGTCCAGCCTGGATAGTATACATATACTGGTATTAATTAATATTAGTATAGAATACTGGATAGTCCATATATCCAGCCAGACAACTTAGACGGGACACCCCTACTCTTATAATAAACAAGAAAACGGAAAGTAACTCTGATTGACCTCATGTTCGCCTACCTGTGCTATTTGAGTTTGAGCAAATGTTGAACTTTAATATTTTCATAAAGTTACAATTATAGTAAAACACAGAAAAGGAAGGAAGGAGGAGGGGTAGTGTCAGATGATTACACATAGATCACACCAAAAAGAATAGTAATATGTATTATATAAAGATTTTAAACATTACCTGTTTTGATTCAATAAATATTTGTTGAGTTTGTTTCTTGCAATCAAACTCAAGACACAAGGAATCCATACCATTTTCATCTTCTTTGGCCAGTAAACCCCAAGATATATCATCATAAGGTAGAAATATGATGAGCTCCTAAAATAAAAAAATTTCATATATATGTATAAATATATACACACATATATATGTATGTATGTATATATATATATATATATATATATATATATATATATATATATATATATATATATATATATATATATATATACACACTTTTTTAATAAAATTTCTTTTTATGGATTAATTTTTATTTGTCAATAATATATCTATTTTTACAATATTTCGAGGGAATATTGATACCTCGTTATCAAGTATATTAAAAACTGTTATAAAAAGTAAAACCGCTATTTATACAAAAATGTTTAAATATGTTGTATTTCCAACTCTTCCCCAACTTTCCTATTAAAAATATTTATTAATATCCTATTAAATCTATTTTTAAGGTATTGCGACCATTCCAGTGGAAATTTCCTTGGCAAATTTTGGAATGTTTAGCTATAGCTGAATTTTCCCCTTTACCTTGTTGTGCACTTGTTTGATGCTGGCATACCCGAGACAATATATCTTCAGTCCAGTTTCACCTACATAACATTTGCCACAAGAGCACTCAACTGGTAGTGTAGGTTTATTTTTAAAACTAAGTAGACTTGGGAGATTTTTTGGAGACTTTTTTGAAACACTGGTGCGTATCCTGCTTTTTTAAAAACTCTCCATAACTTATTTAGATGAGTATTTGACTTTATGAAAATCCCGGAAATTTTTTTTATATGATAATCCCAGAAAATCATGGCAAAATTATTTAATTAAAAATTTATCGCATTTAACTGACAAATGGAATTTAGATTATTTAACTTTTTACAAAAAGGGATTTCTAATATTCGAAAAAGTTTGAATGAATTAAAAAGCAAAAGAAAAAAAAAAAAAAAAAAAAAAATTGTTACGAAAATTGATCTCAGGAAAATTTTAATTATAGAAAGCATATTTGTTTAAATGCAAAAGTTATCGTATGTAAAATTTTATGTAAAAATATATTAACTTTTTTTAAAATTAATATCAAAAAACATCCGGAAATATTTGGAAAAATTAAAGGTGTTTTAAATGAATTTCCGGAATTCCAGGAATTTCCGGTAAAAATTCATCTATGAACTTAGGACTGATTCCAGGGATCCAGGGTAAAGACACAAATCTTTTTGGAGGCATTAGAAAATAATGATTTTCCGTGAGATCTTTTTTGTTGTTAACACTTTCTTTCAAAGACTTAACTAGTTTTTCCAGACTTTTCCTCTTATGGCCATTTTCTACAAATACATTAAAAAGAAAGGACAACTCATCATCAATGTCATTTATTGTGCATAATCAAAATTGCAATCACAAACATTTAATTTGAATGTTTGTGATTTTTGCGATGTATTTTAAAACTATATGTACCGGTTTTATTGTTGGTAACTGAAACATCAAGATAGTTTAATGCATAAGTCAGCAGATTCCATTGTGTATTGAATATTTTTGTGTTGTTTGTCAAGTAGATCTAAAAACTTTTGCGCATCTTCTTCTACCTGGAACCTTGAATGAATATCATCGACATATCTTTTAAATGATTTCACATAAATGTTATTGTTAAATGCCAATGAAGGAGCATTACTTTCATGATATTGTAAAAAACACTTAGCATACCACTACTACCATAAGAGCTAACTCAATTAGTCTGAAGTTTTTGAGCTCATGAATATCATTTTCATATAAAAAATAGCAATGAGAAAGACAAAGTTCTAAAAGTGACCTGATCTCTTTAAAAATAAATAAGATATAAAGCTCTGGTTGTTTCTTATCTTTCAACTAGTATAATGATTGCTTCTTAAATCGGGACCAAAGGGTACAAATTAACAACATCAAAGGCTTATTTAATAACAACCATAATGTGTTTCTTTCATTAGAAGCTTTTGTGTAAATATGTTTGTACAAATTAACAACATCAAAGGAGACCTAAACCTCATTCTTATCAATTTTCATAATCTTGGTGTATCCACTAATTGTTGAGAATTTTTTAAACACATTTCATTTAAGTTAAGAGTGGGTTGTACCATATTGACTAAATATTTAGAGATGCTATATGTACCAATTGTGCTTACAATTAAACTCATTGGGTTACCTTTTACAGGGTTATGGGCTTTCACTACTCCATGTAAACTTGGTGGTACGGCGCGAGTCAGGTAGGTATTGTTATATTCTTTTTTGGTAAAATGTCTTAGTTTATTTAAACTTTTTTTTTTTAAGTGATTAAAACTTAATGAAGAATATGAAGTGTTGTTGGGAGTGTTCTTTAATTTTTTCTAGAGCACTATTTATTATTTTTCTACTATTTTATCAATTTGAACTAACCCAGATCCTTTTTCTAAGAGATATATTTGAATATTCATATCTTTCCTAATTTCATAAAGAGCTCTCCTTTGTTTGTTATTAAGGTTACTTTAACTAGTTTAGCAATTTTTAAATTGATAAAATTTCTAGTCTTAATCTAACTCCCTCAGTTGGTTTCTTACTATAGACAATGTTCTTACTTAGACACTGGTTGTCAACCAGTGTCTAAGTAAGAACATTGTGTATCAAGCTACTGTTTCATCCAATAAACCAGATAACACAGATAAAGTTTATATTGGTATTAGCGAGACCCCTTTCAAGTTAAGGTATGCAAACCATTTAAAATCTTTTAATTTAATTAAGTACAGCAATGATACGGAGTTATCTAAAGAAATTTGGAAACTTAAAGTAGAAAACTTTTTGTTTGTTATTAAATGGAAAATTATCAAGCGCTGCCAAACATATAATCCTTCGTCCAAAATTTGCAATCTTTGTCTTAATGAAAAGTATTTTATTTTAACGCATATAGGGGGAAACCTTTTGAACAAAAGGAACGAGTTGGTTTCAAATTGTAGGCATAAAAATAAATTCCTTCTTTCGTTTTATGATACTGGCGATTAGCTGATTTATATAAGATTTTCTTTGACGTTTTCTTTTTTTGTCTCTATAGAGACGTCAGATGTCGCTCCACTGTATTTTGTAATTTTATTAACAGTTTGTTTGTTTTTGATATAGTACATGGCTGATGATTGCCGTATAGGCATGAAACTATTAGTCCCATGAAAAGTTGTTTTTCCTATATGTAAATAAAAATATATATATATATATATATATATATATATATATATATATATACCGCTCTAGTTAGAAAGTTGTTTACTTCCTTTATTATTGAGCACTCTTAACCGAAATAGAGTTTTGTATTACTATTGTAATACAAATTTAACATCAATCGATATATATATATATATATATATATATATATATATATATATATATATATATATATATTTTTATATATATATATATATATATATATATATATATATATATATATATATATATATATATATATATATATATATATATATATATATATATATATATATATATATATATATATAAATTTCAGGAACATTCACTAATCACTTAAACAACGTTATAAAAAAGTACTTTATAAAAAGTATAGCATTATGAAAAAGGTCATGTAAAAACGCGCATTGATTTTAAAATCAACCAATAAAAATTTTTTATTGGTTAATTTTAAAATTAACGCGTGGTTTACAGTCCATTAGTAACGTTTTTCATAATGCTAAACTTTTAATACGATATGTTTTCATAATGTTGTTTGTCGCGTTTTTATAAGTTACTTTAGTTTTAATATTATTCGAACATCCACTTTATTCTTCTAGATATTTTTCTACTTCAATTAAAGTTTGGGAATATTTATGTTGCTTGAACAAAGAATGAATTTTAAAAGTTACAATTGCGTTATAAAAGTAATAACACTATTATAGAGTTATTACTTTTGTAATGCAGTTAGTGACTAGAGTGTTATTACTTTTGTAATCGTAAGTTTATTGTTTTATTTTTTATTTTTTCGCTAACAAATTTAAGTTGATTCTTCCCTTAAAAACAAGGAACACGGTTTTGTATAAACTAAAATTTTGAATACTAGATATTTTTCCAGATTTTGCGTTTTGCATTCCCTTAACCCGTGTTGTTACATTAAAATTATACAAATAAATTTTACAAACACATTGCAATTTGTATTTTTGCTATCCTCTTAAAAAAAAATTAAGAAAAGGAAAATCATTTATTTATTGTAGACTTCAAACTGTTTTGTTTTTGTTTTGCCTTATCTAATTTTGTTGCTGAATGTAACTCTAAAGAAACAAAAATAAAAACAGTACACAAATTATTTAGATTATTAATTTGTTTTTATTTTTTTCTATTTCAATCTTTTTTTATTTTGTAGTTTTGTGTTTTTGTTTTTGAAACTTTTTCAGCATTATTATAAAACTTGCAAACGGCCGTGTTCACGCTTTCTAAAATATTATAATCGCGTGTGGTCATACGAGACGAAAAACCGCACGCCTTTCCTGGGAAGGCTTGGTTGCCCCAAACCCTCAGTTGATGTTGAGACACATTTTTGCATATTCTGTCTAGACACATAAACATATACATACATTTATATATTTATTTATATGTGCATATATAATAAGTTATATATTTATATAAACTAAAAATAATATATTTTGAAACTTATTGTTTTTTGAAATGTAAAAACAATTATACAGACCTAAAATGAAAAACTTTTTGAATAATTTTGCTTGGTTTTTTTATTTTGGGAATGCGAGTACATAAATAATAAAGAAAAAGTGGTCACTAACTCTTAAAATTTTAATATTTAACAAGAGATCCAAATGGTGCATTATTAAGCATATGTTGCTTATAGATCTTAAATTTACAACATGTGTTCATAATACATTAAAAGCATGTGACAATATACTTCTTCAAAAGATTTTCTTGCTCTTTAGTAAATACTCCTCTTGAAGAAAAATTGAGTTTCATAGTAATGATTTCTCCTTTTATACCGTTTTGTCTTTATAAAATATCTGCATACATAAAAACACACTTTTAAAATTTGCTTTTAGTCACAAACTTATACGAGTTTCATTTATTAACTAGGACAAATATTTATTGGTGCAGAATACATGAGCATAAATTACCTGCAAAGGGTGCTGTGATTAAGATTCATTTTTTCTGCATTTGATGAACACCCTCTTGTTAAATGTTAAATGAATACCCTCCTGTTAAAACTAAATCAACAGCTACCTCAATAAAAAGTATAAAAACATAAAATAAATGTTAGTCTTTCAACAAAAAAGTGTTTAAAAAAAAAAAAACCTGAATAATGAATAACATAACATGTATTTTTACTACATAAACTTTTGTTACCAAATTAGGTGAAACAATTAGGTATAGAAGTCAATATTTCACTAATTAAATATAGTATGCTTGACTATTGAGTAATTTACAAAACGATACATTTGTTTAGTTTCATGGCGCCCCACTAAAACTGTTACATGGTGCCCCATACATGCTGATAGAATAAGATGACTGGTTTTTGTTTTTTCGAAAAATTATTTTATAAAATGTCTTCGCCACACTGAAGAGCTCATGAAATAAAGTTCACAAAGTAGAAGCACTTTTTGAAGAATACAGTGAAAAAAACACCGTAAAATGCTACAACTCCAAAAATTTTAAAATTTCTTTTCAAAGGAAAAAAAACAAATTTGAACCTCTTCCGATATTATTGACATGTTCTGATATGAATTATATGTTAAACAATACATCTAGTAGTAACTGATTACAACTCAAAAGGATTTTTCACAAAACTTTTATATCGTTGTATAATTGCTTTGTTTCATGGTGCCCCATGTTTCATGGTGCCCTAATCCCCTACATTATAAACAAGTTGTGCAAAGATTACTAGATTATAAAAACCTTTCTAACATTTTTTTATGAAGTAGATTTGTATTTTGTAATTAAAATACATCAAAGGAGCAATACAGAGTTTGATTGAAAATGTCTTTTTGATATATTATGAAATAAAACTCTTTGATCAAAAAAAATATTGGAGCTCTGCACAAGGTTTGTGTCGAAAACCTTAAAAAATGGTCAAAAAGAGAAAAAAAGAAAAGGTCAAAAAGAGAAAAAAAGAAAAGGTCAAAAAGAGTAAAAAAATCAAGATATAAGAAAACCTTACAGTTTCCTTAATGGTTGACTGGGATCATTTTAACTGTAGCTAAAGCATTAGGTCACAATTTAGACAAAATATCCATCTCAAAAAGCACAGCAAAGAGATCAGGTGATTAAATTCGTCAGCAAATTTCAGATGATATTAAGAAAACATTTATTTCACCCATGTACTCTTCCATTCACTGGGATTCAAAGCTGGTATCTGAGGTCGATGGTAAAGTGGAACTTTTGCCTATTGTAATAACAGGAAAACCAAGTACACCTGAAGAGAAATTGTTGTGTGTATCCAGGATTCCTAATACAACTAGGTGAAGTTAGGCAACATTTACAATAGATGCTGTAAAGGCATAGAAGCTAGAAAAAACACTTGTGACAATAATTTTTGACACAACTCCTTCAAATTCAGGTTGATAAATGGTTCTGCAAAGTTAATTAAAGAACACTTTAATAAAAAGTTACTTTGGTGCGCCTGCCGACACCATATTTTTAAAATAGTTTTGGCTTCTGTTTACTTAAAAGTTTTTAAAGAATTAACTTTACATTAACTCCAGATACAACTTTTAGAAAAAATAAAACCGAAGAACCAGTATTAAAGACTAAACAAGCAGAATTGATAATTTTTTTGTCTAGTTTACTTAACTGGAAATCTCGAAAAATATTAGGAGATGATTATGGAGAATGTTGTCAACTTCTTTGCAATTACTCAATCCAAAACAAATAAATATACAATGGCACAAAATTGGAGCCTTCCATCATGCTAGATGAATGTGTACACATCAAAAATGTTTGCTTTTGCTGATCTGGCAGAGTATGAAGAAAATTTTATAGAGAAATTATCTAGGTTTTATAAATTTACTATTTTATATAAAAATATGGCTTACATGCACAAGCACAACTGATGCCCCATTTAATGACTTAGAATTCTACAAAAAAATGCTTATTTATTAAAAAATGACAATTATGTTGCTGTTGCTGCCCTGGAAACATTTTATCTTTGGTATTTAACTAAAGAAATGTTCCCTCTTTCATTATTTTCTGATAAGGTATCTGATCGTGATAAAACTAAAATTGCTAAAACAATTCTGAAAATTATAAAAGAAAATTGTGAAAATATAGGCTTTCCACAATTTTCTCTTCTGAAGCAGAGTACTTGTTTGACTGATTTAATTGGACCAAAATCAAGCAACATTCTAAATTATTCGGATATTCAAACAAGGACAGTGGTTGGTTGGCAAAATCCCCAAAGTTTTGGAAAGCTAACACAAATTTTAAAAACATGTTCGAGCATATCAAATCACTGAAATCTAAAACAACAACAAGCTATTTATTTTCTGTAAATCATTTTACAATAGTTTTGATAATAATGATAATAATAATAATAATAATAATAATAATAGCAAAAATATATAATAATAACATAAGATAAAAAATATAATTATACAAACTATATATATCCTTAGAGTTGCGACAGCATAATAGTGTGTTAGGAGAAAAAAATTTATAAACCCGCGTTAATAACCTGTTTTCTATCGTACATAATGCATTAATAATGCGTTAATATATTTTATTACGTGTTTTGTTCAATGTTTTCTCCCAACGCATGAACTATGACGCTGTCGCAATTTTTTTTTTTTTTTATTAGAAATAAAATAAGTTTTAATAAGTTTTTGCTGATGTGGTTGCAGGTTTTTCTTAACTTCTATCAAATAAACTTAAGAAACCTGTATTACTTTTGATGAGGGCAAATTAATTTTATTTTGCATTTGTTTGGTTTCTTTATATATATTTGTTTTGAAAAATTTTTTTTTTAATTTTTCGAGTATGATTTTTTTAGTTATTAAGTTTTTTTATTTTATTGTTAACTTTAGATTAGTAAAAAAAAAAGAAATAATTAGTGTTGCTTTGATAAATATGTTTAATGAAAATGATGACATTGAAATGGATGATAGGCTAGATGTAGTTTTGTATTTACAAGATGATGTAAGTGCTATAAGGCGTGTTAAAAATAATCGTAGACGAAATGAAAGAAATAGACTTAGGCGAGATGAAATTGTTTACAAAATGAAAGAAATAGGCTCCATCGAGATAATGTTAATCGTCGCCAAAATGAAAGAAATAGGCTCGATCGAGATAATGTTAATCATCGCCAAAATGAAAGAAATAGGCTCGATCGAGATAATGTTAATCGTCGCCAAAATGAAAGAAATAGGCTCAATCGAGATAATGTTAATCGTCGCCAAAATGAAAGAAGAGCTGTTGGACAAGGACGAATGTATTCTATAGCAAGAAGTAATGCTATTCCAGATTATAATTATTTAGGAGAAATGAATCAAATTTGTCAGCACTGTGGTGCTAAGAAATTTCCAGATGAAACACATTTTCTATGTTGCCATAATGGTAAGGTAGCTTTGCCTCCACTTTCACCAATTACACAAGCTTTACAGGATTTGTTTACAGGGAGTTATGTAGATTGTAATGCTAATGCTAATTTTTTAAAACATATTTGAAATTATAATGCCTGCCTTTCTTTTGCTTCTTTTACAGCAAATGTAGTTCAACCAATGAATCATGGGCTTCCATGTTTTAAAATATGTGGCCAGATTTTTCATCGTGTAGGTAATCTTAGGCCAGATCAAGATATTCCACCAATATATTCTCAACTATATATTTATGATCCACTTGCTGCACTAAATTTTAGAATGCAACACTATGCTAATGATTTTTGTTTACGTGATTTAATGTTTCAATTGCAAACTATAATTATGGAACAAAGTCCATTTGCTCTTGCATTTAAAAACATGGCTGAAGTAGAAGATGAAGAAATTCGTAAGCCGGCTATAGAAGGTCGCTCAGCTTCTGTTGTAAAAATGTCTTTACTTGAAGGCGGTGATAGACGTCGTTATAATCTACCTTCACATGATGAAGTTGCAGTTGTATTTGTTGGCGAAGATGGTGCTCCCCCAACTTCCAGGGAAATTGTTATTTACCCAAGAGGTCATCCTTTAAAAATTGTATCAAGTATGTCAGCCAACTTGGATCCTATGGTTTATCCACTATTTTTTCCAAGAGGTGATGCTGGTTGGCATAATCAATTGGTGCATAACCCTGAGCGTGCCACACTGGTTAGAAATCATGTTACATTATCTCAGTTCTACAATTATAGACTTTCTGTTAGGCAATTTTTCTGTTCATTATTTTATGGCAAGAAACTATTTCAGCAATATGCTGTAGATGCATATGTAAAAATTGAAGGCCAGCGTCTTGCTTTTATCAGAAATAATCAAAATAAGCTGAGAAGCGAGCAGTACGATGCCTTACATGAACATATTAACAACATTGCCAATGATTGTAATATTAGACCAGGACGAGTAGTAGTTTTGCCATCATCTTATGTAGGAAGTCCTAGAGCTTTAAAAGAAAACTTTGAAGATGCTATGGCAATTATTAAAAAGTATGGTAAACCAGATCTTTTTATAACTTTTACTTGCAACCCAAAATGGCGTGAAATAACAGAAAATTTATATCCGGGTCAGAATGCGAATGATAGACCTGATTTGGTTACTCGAGTATTTAAACTCAAGTTAAATAACCTCCTCAATGATATATTCAAACATGGTGTATTAGGCAAAGTTGTAACGCATGTTCAGGTTATTGAGTTTCAAAAGTGTGGTTTGCCGCATGCCCACATTTTACTTCATTTAGCAAATGATGATAAACTTGAAACATCACAGGATATCGATAATTTGATTTGTGCAGAAATTCCAGATCCGATAGTTAATTGTGAACTTTATGATATTATCAAAACTTGCATGATTCACGGCCCATGTTGGATACTGAATCCAAATTCTCCCTGCATGAAAGATGGGGTGTGCAGCAAAAAATATCCTAAAGATTTTAATGCCAACACAGTAGCTGTTCACAATGGTTATCCGCGCTATAGGCGTCAAGATAATGGGTTGGTTATCAATATTAAAGGCAACAATGTAGATAACCGTTGGGTGGTACCTTATAATCCTTGGTTATCAAAGAAATATCAAGCCCACATTAATGTTGAAGCTTGCATGTCTGTAAAGGCTGATAAATATTTGTATAAATACATATACAAAGGGCATGATTGTGCGAATGTTTTGATAAATGAACAGGTTAATCACGATGAAATAAACACTTTCTTAGATTGTCGTTATGTTAGTGCACCTGAGGCGCTGTGGCAAATATTTGAGTATCCCATATGTCACACTCTATTATCCGTCTTAAGGTTCATCTTCCTGAGAATCAGATTGTGTATTTTAGAGAAGGAGAAGAACAAGTGGCGTTAGATCGTGCTGCTCAACGTGATACACACCTTACGGCCTGGTTTAAATTGAATTCTGAAGTCTTTCGTGAAGTGTGTGTTTTTAATGGTTTGTTGCAAGATGACACTGAATGGCAGAATACTCTTTCTGAGGCAGTTTTAACGCGAATGCCTAAGCAAATCAGGCAGCTGTTTTCAATTATTTTAACCTTTTGTGAACCTGATGACCTTTTGCATCTTTGGGATTCATACAAAGCCTTTATGATGGAGGATTTCATTCATCGCCAAGTTCCATTTATATTAGCTGAACAAGCTACTCTTCTTCAAATTGAAAAGATTATTAATCAAAGTGGTAAAACGCTATCTGATTATAATTTGCCTGTTGTTGATGAATTCATAGATTTTAATCTAGAAAATTTAAATGATAATGTTCAGCAATCAATTGACGAAGCTAATCGAATGAGACCGCTTCTTAATGTCAATCAATTAAATGTAAGTAATGCTGTCCTTGCTGCATTGAACGAGCAACCATGTGTAGAAAATCAACATTCCAGATTGTTTTTTATGGATGGACCAGCCGGTAGTGGCAAAACTTTTACATATAATTATTTGATTGCTGAAATGAGCAGTAGGGGTGTTAAATCTGCTACAGCTGCATGGACTGGCATAGCAGCAACTCTTCTTACAAATGGATCTACGCTGCACGGGTTATTTAAACTTCCTGTCCCAATACTGGATAACAGCACATGTAATGTGACTCCTAACTCTATTCAGGGACAATTTTTAAGGCAAGTTAGTTTGTTTATGCTTGACGAGACATCCATGATTCCCAAACACGCTTTAAATGCAATCGATCGGTTGTTAAAAGATGTTTGCAACAACAACTTTCCATTTGGAGGAAAAGTCATTCTTTTTGGTGGTGACTTTAGGCAAATTTTGCCTGTTGTGAAAAGAGGGAGACCAGCTGAAGTTGTAGAATCATGTATAAAATGTTCTTTACAGTGGCAATGGGTGCAGAAGTTTACATTAACTGAAAATATGAGAGTACGTGATGGAGAAGGAGATTTTTCCGAATGGCTGTTAAAACTTGGTAGTGGAACAATACCTGGCAAGGAGGAAGATCCTTTTAAGGGATGTATTGAAATACCGCAACAGTGCATTATTAGAGAAAACGAATCAATTGTTGAAAAAATATTTGGAGATGCTCAACAAGATGATTATGCTAAACGTGTCATTTTAACACCCACCAATGTGGATTCATTGTCAATCAATGAAGAAGTGCTTGAACGTCTACATGGAGAGGTCAAAACTTATTTAAGTGCTGATCAAATAGACACTGACGATCTTAATGAAAGAAATAATTTCCCTGTTGAGTTTTTGAACAGCTTAACTCCTTCAGGTATGCCTACTCATTGTTTAAAATTGAAAATTGGTTGTGTAATTATGCTACTTAGAAATTTAGATCTTAAAGCTGGGCTATGTAATGGAACCCAAATGAAAGTTTGTGCTCTCCAAAACAATTATATTGATGCAGAGGTTTTGACAGGTGTTTCTGAAGGTAAACGGGTATTTGTTCCTTGAATTCAGTTGGCTCCATCAGATTCTAATTTACCTTTTGTTCTAAAACGTCGTCAGTTTCCTGTCAGATTAGCTTATTCGATGACAATCAATAAAAGTCAAGGTCAAACATTTGATAGAGTTGGGGTATATCTAAAAAAAACGTGTTTCTCCCATGGTCAACTATACGTTGCATGTTCAAGAACTAGAGCATTTAATAGTTTGTTTTTCAAAATTGATAAACATCCTATTCAAGGTATGGTAGGTGAAAAATACTACACAAATAATGTTATATTTTCTAATGTTCTTAATTTATAGTCTTAATATTTTCATTTCTAAAATTTACTGTTTGTAGGTTGTGAGCACATTTTGTATGTGTAACTTTAATATTTTTATTTTTTTCATAGTTTTTGATAAATATATTTGTCATTTAATATTGTTATATATTGTGTTTATATGTGTTATATGAAGTCATATTTGTTTATAGTTGTATATATGTTTACATTATGTTGTTTCCATGTTTTCAAAGTGGTGTGACTTGGCAAAATGTTAAGCAAGATTGTTAACCTTGCCAGCCAAGCGGTGTACTTATAGCAGAGGTGTGACTTGGCACCATTTTGTGCCAGGCGGTGTTACTGCTTTAGAGCTAGGTTGTGTTGTCTAGCTTTTTTTAATTATTCTGGAAACACATAATGTCTGGTAATGTTTTGTGTAATGTGTATAAAAGAGTATGCAACCTTGATCCTTAAATAAAAATAATTGAATAACTAATATTGAATATAAAAGCAAATATACTATATTAAAGTTTAGTAAAAGGATAAATGTAGATAACTCAAAATTGGTTTTTTAGTTTTGCCTTTCATATTCTTTTAAAATTGGTTTGTTATTTTCCACTGGATTTTAGAGTCAAGGGTGTAAATATTAGTTATATAGGTGTGAATATGTGTTAATGTTATGTGTTATTGTTATAATGTTGTAATGTATTGTTATAATGTATAATATTGTTATATTGTTGTGATGTTTTGTGTTGATAGACAGCTTGGCTTACCTTCCCGTTGGTGTCTATCGTTAAAAATGAATAGATAGTTTCATTATTGGAACTTGCTGCTTTTATTCATTTACTAAAAGCCAAGACAAAATCTTGCTAAAAATTCAATTTATGTCTTTATTTGATTTTTTTTTCCTTTAGTATTGTTAATCCTTTAGTACTTCGAAAAAGATTTTATAGCTACTTTTTTCTATAAATGTTTATATTAATTGCAATATCAAAAGGTTACAAAAACAGGTAAATCGGTTTTCAGTGTTTATATGTGGTGTGTATATATATATATATATATATATATATATATATATATATATATATATATATATATATATATATATATATATATATATATATATATATATATATTTATATATATATATGATGTTATAATTCCTTTCCTTTTTTTTATTTTAGATTTTACCATATGACGTATTAATACAATATTAAAAAAAACAAACTTGATTTTCTAAATTTGTAAAATTTTGTTCGTTTGTTAAAAAGATATAAAGACATTAATATATATATTTTTTTCCGATGTTTTCCCTATCTTATGCTTTAATAATTCGTTGTTAAAAACACAGGGAGACTTGCAGTTTGTCAAATATTAAGTTGATTAGTTTAGTCTGCAATTGCAACACTTTTGAGGAAAGAAAAAATTCTTATATATGTAAATCGTTGTTTTACGCTTTATTATTTTGGTAAAAGGTCTTCATCATAAATAGATTACTCTTAATAAAAAAAACTCTACTCACATGGCTACCATTAAAACAAAAAAAGGGGAGGGGCTCTTAATTAGCGGAGATTCAAAATATTGACGAAACCGAAACTTCGAGTAATAAAAGGAATATTTAGTAAATGGCAGCAAATTACTTTACCGTTTGCAAAAAATTATTGAAATAAAAAGGCCATCTATTCAATATAGAAATAATCAGAGTTTAGAAGGCTTAACATGACCGGGTCCGTTAGCTTTGTTTGCAAACATGAGATTATGTCACGTTAACAACCTCAAAAGTCAATTTAAAACAAGTTTAGTAGCAAAATGTAATATATACAAGTATAAATGTGATAGTATAGTAATACTCTTTTATCATTTTTTAGCTAATAAAATGGATTTAAGACTAGATTGATTTTTGTTTCCTGTTAAACCGCAGTAAATAAAAATTAGAAGGCTATTTGGCCTCGACAGAATATGCAACAAGTTTGTATTAAACTCATTTACACAAAAATGGAATTAAGACAAGTTAGCTCCTAAAATTATCTATATGTACAGATATGTTTATTGCACTTATTAGTAAATAAACTGATTAGTTGCGTAATGAGTTTAAATTTTAGCCATTTTTTAAAGTCGATAATCATAACGTACTTAATTAAACATGCGTGATGTAATTTGCATAGCTAAATTAAACGCTTAGTGTTGCGCAGTTTGGTTTGTGCGCAGTTTTTCTTCTGTTCTGGAATTTTGAGATTAGAATTTCCAGACTTATTTTAAAAAGCGCGTTTTCGTTTTAATTTTTTTTTACATCTAATCGTACCTATCAAGTAGGTCATATTCAGTATAATCAATTCAATCGTTTTCATTTTTTATGTTTTAACATGTCTATTACCTTTATTAAATTTGTTTTTAAGCATATTTGTTTTTATTTTTTATATCGAATTAATAGAATGAATCAGATTGAAGATGAAGGTTTGTATTTATTTAGATGTGTATTATGTTACAGATGTATAATGTTATGTTGTTAGTTCTTAAATATATGTTTATTTTTAGTTGCTGAATTACTAAGAAGTAAGTTTTCTTTCATTTTGTTATTAACAAATGTTATAAATTGCATTTATATGTTTGTTAATTTAAATTAACTTTACAATATTAAAATGGTTTAAACGAACTTAAACGAACTTTTGTAAATGAATTTAATCCTCAAAGATTAAATTTTTTTTATTATTGAAGAAATTAAACTAGATTTAAGAATGAGTTGACTTAAATGTTTGTTTGTTTTTCTATTTAGATGATGACAATATTGAAGCAAGTAAGTTAAAAAGCATTTTTAAAAAGAAATAAAAATACTTTTCAATATATCTGTTTTCTTTGAGGTAGATTTAAAGTTTCAGGTTTTTAAAATCATATATATTATAAGATTTAAGAATGAGTCGACTTAAATGTTTGTTTGTTTTTCTATTTAGACGTTGGTGATAATATTGGAACAAGTAAGTTATAAAGCATTTTTAAATTTTTAAAAAGAAATAAAAATACTTTTTAATATGTATCTGTTTTCTTCGAGGTAGATTTAAAATTTCAGGTTTTTAAAATCATATATATTATAATATTAAATTCTTTTTTACTTTAAAAATATCCATATTATAGTTACACTGAGTCGTAGAAAAAAATTAAAGTTTATTAATAAGGTAGTAGATTATTAGAGTAGATTAAATTGTTTGATCTATTAATCAACTTAATAACGTACTATTAAAGTAAAGATTTATTTTGGTTGTTTGTTAAAATTTAGTTATAGTTTATTTAAAATTTAAATTCTTTAGTTAATCAAGAGAGATCTAATAAAGGTATTAATTACATTAGTTGAATGTAGCATTTAATATGCATTTTATCGATATTTTAACGTCTAAACATTAAAGTGCTTTTATTGTTTAGATACAGAAGTGAAGAAGGAAATAAGTCAGTGTTTTTGCTATTAGATATTTGTTATTAGGAATTTGTTTATTTGTACTGCCACTGGAATTTTAAAAAATCAAGTTCTTTAGCTTTTTTTTTATACTTTCTTTTAGGGGAGTTGGAACAAAAACTAAGTATAAATTATGATTAGTTTAGTTTAATAAATAAAGCATTAATATTTAGAAGATTTAAAGTTTACTTTAGTTTATAGTTTTGGTTTAGTTTATAGTTTTGTTTTTAGCTTTAGTTATTTTTTTCTTACTTTAGACAACTTTATGGATGAAATGAGGGGGATAGGTAAAACAATTATTTAGATATGTATATATTTATATGTTAACATTATTTTATCGATTATTATATATTTATTTAAGTATATATTTGTCTTTAGTGTCAGGTGGAAGTATAGCTGGTAGGACTGTGTTTTATATTTTATATATTTTGTATGGAGAAATATATGCAATAGGTGAAAAAATTAATTAATAAATATGACACATTTGAACTGGTTGCATTATTGCCCTATATATTTATTAAAATACAAAATATTGCATGTTTAACCCTTATTAATTTGCTGTTTTTTTTTTGTTTTTTTTTAGCATCTTCTGTTTCGAATGAAAATGGTGAGGTTATGCTAATTTTTTTTTTTTTTAATAATTGCAAATGTATAATTTTTATTATACTCTTCTATTTGTAACTTTAGATTCCTTATCATTCGAACAATACCAAAGTTTTCGCTCCCAACACCCCGGACCTCTCTCAGAGAGGTCCTTCAATAAATGGAAACGTAATGGCGGTATGGATGAGCCCTCCTTTAAATGGAGGGCTCATCCATACCGGGGTGTTGGGAGACACCAAAGAAAAAACAGCAACCAAAAGGTTGTAAATGTCTTCTATCAGTAGAGATATTTATGACTTTTTAGTTGCTGCTTTTTCTTCGGTTTTTTTTTTTTTTTTTTAATTTTGTAATTTTTTGTTTTGGTGTTTTTTTTTATTAAAATTTTGTAATTTTTTTTTTAAATATGTTACGTTGTATATTTGATTTGTTTTAATCTTTTTTAATAAAATTTTTAATTGTTTTCTCACCAATTAAACCTGACTTCAAATTTGAAGCCCTCTTAAATACCCCTTCCTAAATTCTAAAGTCGAAAGTTGAATTGATTCATTATCCAATTATCATAATATAATGATGCTGCATTCTTTTGTTAAAAACAATTATTGGGTACTGCTTTTAAAATTTACCAAAACCCAAGGCAATATATTTAGCTATATAAATACAATTTATTTATCTCAATTCTATTCTTTATCTTTTATGTTTATAGTTTGGCTCCTTAAAGCATTTTATGTTTTGCTCTTTTTATTATGAATATTTTAAATCCGTTGTGATGTCTTTTAAATTAAACTAAAGTTTACTAAAAGCCAACATAAAAATTACGTTTTTGAACAACACTAAAAAGAACAGCTGCATCCCTACAGCAACTGCTGCAGTATCACAATAGGTTACCAAAAGCAGGTATACTGTTTTCCAGTTGTTGTTTTTTTTTCATATATAATATGAAATATTCATAATACTATAGTACGATTGTTTATATCTCATTCATTTTTTCTTTATCTTTAAGTGTTAATAATTTTATTCTTTGAATGATTTTAGTGAAACAAGTCGGCTTTTCATT